ATTCTATAGTTCTAGCAATAACTAGGCTAAATATCACTAACTCATTCACATTCAAGCCCTAAAATCAAATACCTATTAAATACCCACACTAGGGTTGGGTCACAACCCTAGCTATGGGTTTAGCTACTCATGGAAATAACAGAAATTAAAGATGAAATAAAGATAAAATCCATAATATTAATTTACGGAATGAAAATCTAATGTTAAGAGATGAATCTAGTACAAAATTTCCGAAAATAGAATATTCAACCGTCTCACGTGCTCCTCTAAAATATTGACCTAAAAATAACAAAAAGTTTTATTTATATATCTGACAAAAATGCCCCTGCGGAGGTTGTGCGGTCGCATAATTCTAAGTGTGGCCGCACTCTTGCTTTCGCGACCGCATAATCCAGCTCTCTGAATCTCTGTCCTCGCGGTCCGCGTGATTATGATCGCGACCGCACCATGGCTTTTGCGACCGCACAATATTGGTGCGGTCCGCGTTTCAGGATTCTTTGTCTAGTTTTTGTTTTGTTCAACTTTTGACTCCTTTATGAGTTGGTTTTGATTCTTTTGGCTCATTTTGAACAATTCCTGCAGGAAAGCACATTTCATTAGTTCCCGGGAATACCTTCAACATTTTCGGCCTAAATCACAAGTAAACGAGAGCAAATAATAGGTTAAAACCCCTACTTATCACTATCCATGGCTCTTGTTTGCTAGTTATGATTATAGGGCAAAAGATTTTAGGTGAAGAACTATAATCCACTTCACAAGTGCAATGGTACTACCAAGAATAAACTGTGCAACACAAAGTACTTAGCAGAAAGATAAAAGGACAGAATAATTTCTGAACCAAATATTAGAATCTTTATGTTTCAGGAGTTAGAAGTGTATATTGGAAGGACTATTGCAAGGAAAACCAAGAATATTGTGTTAAAACAGATTATAGGAGACCATGTTAAGGAGTTTGGCAGAATTTTGGACTATAGAGATGAGCTTCTAAGGACTAATCCAGGCAGCACATGTGTTGTGAGACTTAGTGAAGAAACATATGAAGATGGAAGGAAAATATTTGTAGCATTTTATATCTGCTTTGATGCATTGAAGAAGACCTTCCTTGATGGTTGTAGGAGGTGTATTGGGTTTGATGGTTGTTTTTTGAAAGGTGTTTGTAAAGGACAATTACTTGTGGCTGTTTGTAAGGATGGGAATAACCAGATGTTTCCATTGGCTTGGGTAGTAGTTGAAGTTGAAAACACATATAATTAGAGATGGTTTGTGAACCTTTTAAAGAATGATCTTGATCTTGGAGATGGGATAGAGTTGACTGTTATTACAGACATGCAAAAGGTAACTTATATTCTGTTAACTGTGTTGTTCAAATCTGTTAATATGTTTATTTTTTTAACTGTTTATATTCTAACCATTTATCTTTTATATGTTGTAGGGACTTGACAAAGCAATCAGTGAGGTCCTCCCACAGGCAGAACATATGATGCGTGCCAGGCACATCCTAGCAAACTGGTCAAAAAAATGGAGAGGCACTAAGAGAAGGAACTATTTTTGGAGATGTGCTAGGTCAACTTATGAACAAGAGAAAGAAAAATCTTGATCACATGGAGAAACTAGGAGATAAAATAGTTGAGGACTTGCTATACTATAACAAAGAAAGGTGGTGCAAGGTGTATTTCAAGTATTTCAGCAATTGTGACAGTGTTGACAACAATATGGCCGAAACTTTCAATTTTTGGATATTGGGGCTAATGCACAAGACAATCATCACAATTCTTGAAGAGATTAGGGTGAAGATGATGATAAGGATAGCACAAATGAGGGATTTCTGTGATACTTGGATCAGTGACATTTCTCCAATGGCACTGTAGGTGTTGCAGGAGAATAGAACAAAATCAATGAAAAGTGTGGTGCACTGGAATGGTCAATATGGTTATGAAGTGAAGGAAGGACACGCCAGTAAGCATAAAGTGAATCTGAACATGCTAACCTGCACTTGTAGAGCTTGGATGCTGAAGGGTATACCATGTGCTCATGCTATAGCTGCTATCATTTCAAGAAATTGGAGCCAGTTAACTGCATTGCACATTAGTACCATATGGAGACTTATATGAAAACATACAGTCATTTTCTTCAGCCTGTTCAAAATATGGAGATGTGGCCACAATCACAAAACCCTTCAGTTATACCACCAGAAGTAAGAGTAATGCCTGGCAAGCCCAAGAAAGTGAGAAGGAAGGAACAGTCAGAAAACAAAACAGGAAAGCTTTACAAAAGAGGTACACGGATAACTGTATCAATTGTCACGCTAAAGGCCATAACAAGAAAGGTTGTCACAAGGCTACACAAGGTACTGCAAGATCAGCTGGTGGTGCAAAGTCATCAAGTGTTGGTTCTTCATCAACACCTTCAGTTCAAAATATACCAAAAATAGGAACATGAACAGGAAGAGGAAGACCAAGAGGTTCAACAAAACATGTTATTACTCTGAAGTTACTTCTATAGACTGCATATTTGTAGGTCTATTTTATGTTTAACCTCTTAATAATTTGCACTTTTTATAGGATATTGCTACTGGTATAGGAAGAGGGACACCCTATAAAAGGCCAAGAATTGTTGGTATGAGAATTCTACAAACAGAAAGTGGAGCTTCCATCTATAATGTAAGCATATAATGTTAACTGTGACTATGAACTCATTTTGATCAAACTTTGATGTAACCTAACTAAGTTTGTTCCTGTGAATATAGCCTGGCATATCAACTGTGCCTATGAATTCTGCAGTAGTGACTGGAGATATTGGACACAAACCAAGAATAGGGGTGAAATGGAAAGGTAAAGAAGCTATCAGCTCGAGGAATCTTCAACATATTCAAGCTAAGAAAAGAATGGAGACAAGGTCAAAGGCATCTGAAAGAGTTCGTTTGAGCCAAACAAGTTCATCAGCCCCCACAATCAACTGTCCAGTAGATATTAGAACATCAGTGTTTTTGTTTGCCTTTTGACAGTTGGTATATGTAAAGAGAATATGAATTTTTGTTTTGGTATGTAACTATATTCAGCAATTACTGAAAGTTTCTAAGTCTATGGTATTATGTGCAGCTATGACTGTTGATTTGTAGGTCTATTACTGGAAATGATATGCAGCAACGACTGCAATTTTGTTAAGTCAGTTTCTGTATTTTTATGTTGAAGTCTGTTTTTATGCAATATTCAGCTTTTCTGTTTAAGTGTGATGCAAAGTTGTTAATTTGTTTTCTGCATAAATATGCTGCTAATATACAACAGTGACTGCAAAGTTCTTGATTTGTTTTTCTGCATAATTATGTTGCTAATATGCAGCAGTGACTGCAGATTTCTAAGTCAATATAAAGCCTGCATTTGTAACAGGCATATTGCCAATTTTCACAACACAAACTATATCAACAAGGTGCATTATATTACAACAAAAGTTACACCAAATTTTTACAAAATATGCTGCAATTTTGTTAAGCAACACTAAAGTTACTACTGCCACAACAGATCCTAAGGCAACTTCATTGAATGATTCTTCACATATACTAGATGAAACCAATAGCTTAGAACTATAACACATCCACACAACACAAAAAACCAAAGTACTTTTTCCCTAATCTTGGACTTAACCGAACTGATCATCCACTTCTTCTCCCTTCCTTTCATCTTCTCAATCTCTCCCTCCAACTTCTCTAGTTGCATCTCTATCTTCCTTTCCACTTGTTTTTTTCCCCTAGGCTTCTCAACACTTCCAATGCACTTTCAAGTTCACCAATTTTCTCCACCAGTTTAGGAATAACAAATTTAGATCTTGGATCAATTTCTACATCCCTCCAACGCCAAAAAATCACAAGATCTTGGACCGTACAATGATGAAACATAAGAAATTAATTAAAGCTCAATCAGTGAAAGCTTCAACTAATTTACAAAAATTAAACTTACCCTATAGTATGGACACACCCAATATCTTCAACCGGGGTTCCGAGGGGTCCAAAAAGTCATTATCGGCAGCACATAACCATGATTGTAGCGCACTTCTTCATTCAACCCAGGATCATCATCTTTCATGCAAAGCCTAGCCAAGTTAGTTGATCGCATTGTCGATTAAGCCCTAAAATCAAATGAACCACTCAAATAAGAAGAAATTTGAAACACTCAATAAGCTCTAAAATCAGATGAACCAAAAGATCATAGAGAAGAATAATGCTTTGATTCAGATAATAGGATTCGGAATTGTAGGTCTTGGCCAGAATTTGTGAGTAATTGAAGGAGAGAGAATTAAGGTTCTTGAAGAAGAGAAGAAGAATTGGATCGGATTTTACCGTTGGGTCCCCTTATAAAGTAAAGAATCTCTTTTACCGTTGGGTCTATTTATTTATAATGATTTTTCTTTTCTTTTTTTTTTTAATTCATTTTGTCCGTTAATTTTAGTATAAAACGCGTTCACATATCAAATGTTTCCACGCGCTGGATCTAGGGTCATGGAGGGTGAAACAAAATTCATTTGGAATGTGTTTAGGAGGTAAAAGAACACCTGTTTAGTTAAAGTGTTCAAACCCGTTTTTTGGACAATTTTAATGGGGTCTTTATGTATTTTGCCTACTTACAACAAAAACTTTGCTTCAATTGCTGAACCACACGCCACCTAAGTGTGCCAGTCGATTCTTTTCCGTTAGATATCAGCTATTTCAGCTCAATTTTTCTTTCTTATTTGTTGTTTCATATGCATAACAAGTTAAGTTGACTCGGTCTTGGTTTTCCTTTTTCGATTTCCTTTTCTTTTGACATTCTTTGACTTTTAACTTCTCCTTTGGGGCTTTCAAATTCTCGGTTGAACTTCTTATCCCGCAGCGTTTCTTTTTCCCTTACCCTTCCAGGAAATATATATGGTAAACACAATTAATTGGCTAATGTCGAAGTCACAATATTTGGACTGGACTTTAGCGATGAACAAAAAAGATAATTCTTAACGCAGAAATTTAAGCCAACAATGAATTATAAACTGAAACCAAACCGAAAAACCCACCAAATAAACTGAAAATTCTGATTCAATTCTTATTCTTAACATAACAACAGGCTAAACTACAAAAACTTTCCCTTGTCCCTTCTTCCTTCTCTTTTTGAAATTCCTGGTTGGAAAGTCAGGGGATGATCAGGAACTTGTATGCCTGTATGTCTCCAGGTCAAAAAATAGCTACCGGAAAAGCACGTGTTCTGGTGGCGGATCTAGCTCATAACTTATGGGTTCATCGAATCAACAGTAAATGATCGAATTCAAACCTAGAAAGTTTAAATCTCGCATTCACTTTTGTCTGATGATAGATTTCTTCCATCAAGAAGTAAGCCCAATTTTAGACCATTGAGAGACCCATTTGTCCATTTCTTACAATCTGATTCCCGCGAAAAAAATATTCGCCGTCAAAAGCTTCCTCGCTGCTATCTTCGCCTTCATCTTCATCTTCATCACCAATTTTTTCTTCGCCTTCATCGGACGATAAAGGAACCAGCCAACAAGCTCCGTGTAAATGCCCATTCACACACAAAGAGTACTCTAACCCACTCTCCATCGAACCAAGCCGCCGCGCCGCACTTTTCGGAACGAGCCGAGCCGCCGTCATGCTCCAAACCCGCGCCCCACAAAACAGACATTTAATTCTCTCTTCAAGCTCCACCTGTCTTCTAATCAAACACGCCCTTGTCCTAGACCTCATAAATCCCAAAAATACCCCTCTAAATATCCCCAAATCGTCATCCTTATCCCCTGTTGGATGCTCACATGGATCACTTACGTACAGCAAATCATTTCTACATTTCTTCACCAGAAAACTCCGACCGGAGGTTTTTGAAAAAACGGGATGTTTTTACGAAGTGACCCGGTGCCGGTTCGCCCATTTGAAAATGTTGGCTAGACCGGCATCCGTTGCAGAAAAACATCAATTTAGCCATAGCTTGCCATCCAATTCTGCCGCTAGGCGAACCGTCAGTTAACGCCGTTATCATTTGCGCAGCACGATACACACACATCTCTCTCCAGAGAATCTTTTTTGCTACTACACGGAGCTTTCTGTTAACACGCGACATTTGACAGAGTGTACGGATATCCCAATTAAGCGACGCAAAGACGGGGATAAGAATCCTCTCATCGTAGATTCCAGAACCTTCCGATTCCGACGACTCCCCGACTGAATTGAACAACCATTTTTTACTGTGGTTGTTACTCATTCTTATTTTTCCGAAGGGTATCTGGTCGGTTACTGGCAAAGGCACTTATATAAATGGCTACTATATATATATATATATATATATATATATATATATATATATATATAAAAATTAACTGCCTATCATTACCCTAACAAATAGAAAAATGTTGCTACGTGGAGCTGTTTCTATATATATAAATTAACTGCCTATCATTACCCTAAAAATAGAAAAATGTTGCTACGTGGAGCTGTTTCATTGGATGATACAGACAATTGTGGATATGATATTTCTTAGGTCAAAGTAAGTGTGTGGAAGCAAGTGAGGATCTAGGCGACACATGTCCTTAATTAAACATATTGTTTGGGGCTCGAAAATATCTCAAGGTATACGTGTCATGGCGCTGAATATCTAACAATATAAATATTTGTAGCGCTTTCAGCAAGTGATATGGTTACAAGTGTGTATTGGTACAAGCTTACACGTTTAATTTTTTGGACTTGTTTACCGTACCGGCTGAAGTCCAAAGAAAAAGATAGACATCATGTCCTATTATGGATTGAGTATTATAAAACACGGTGTCTTTTGAATTTTTTTGTACTAGTAATTTAATTGAAAGATATTTCTGAAGTGCCTAAGATGTAAGGGGTCGTTTGGTACGAGGTACAAGCTTTTAAAGAACAAAAACGCTGACACTGTTTGGGCCACGAAACTAAGCCCAGAACATGAGGAGAGGGTCCAGAAACCACGCCAGAGGTGATTCTGACCAGGCCACCCATCTGGGCCAATGCCGGGACCAATTGCTACTAAGGCCTACTGATCCTCTCGAAAACACTTAACAACAATTGAATAAATCCTGGAAATTAAATACTAACTAACCATACCAAAGAGTAATTAAATCAAATTATACAAATTGGATAATTAAAATAAATTTACACAACTCTAATCATAATAACTCAACAATCCTTGTATCTTGCTAATTATCAGTGGTGGCTTCATAGGAAAAAAAAAAGCACCCCGATCTTCTGCTAAGGCAATCTATTCCAGCCCATGTGATTTTATAATTCCAAAAAAACAGTATTTGCATTTACAAGGATAGTTACAGAGCTAGCTTGCAAATCTGCATCCAACTTATCACAATTGAAACAAATGAAACAAACAGTTAGGATTCAAATGATTATAACCTTTCATGATTTCAACACACAAGGAAAAATCATAGAAAAGACATGCCAATATAAGGTGGAATAAGATGTAGGATTAAATTTATACCTTATTTGGTTTCAAGTATAAATTTATCCTGAATAAATTTATACCTCTTAATCCAGGATAAACTATCTTATATCACTTTATCCCGTTAAATGAGATTAATTTATCCCATTCCTCACTTGGTATAAATTAGTCCCGGAATTATAATCCCAATATAATTTAGTGTGCGTACCAAATCATCCCTAAGTGGTTGATCTGCGTTCTTCCTAGAAATAAGATCCTCACTTTGTCAAAAGTTGAGACATATGTAGTTCATCAGTGGTAGAAAGAGGTAAAGAATTTTGACAAAAATTATCACAACTCAAAAGTTCAAAACTTCGTAGGCCAAAAGTTTTTTTTCACTTTGCTTACGAATCTCAGGTTTCCATTTCTTTGACGGGCGAAGTGCAGCAATAGCTATTTTAAGACCGCTATTTAAAATATATTCATAATTTATAAAAATTAGCTATTTCAGGGCATAAGGTTCGAACTTCTGGGGTAAAAATTTCCAAATTTTATGACACGATGTCCTGAAGTTTGACTTTTGAGGTTTAAACTCTAGGACGTTGTGCCTTGAGGTATGAGCGAAATTGGCTTAAATACATTATAAACTGTAGATATATTTTAAACATCATGCTTAAAAGTGACTACCTAGTGTCATTTCCACTTCTTTGACCAACCTGTGCAACAAGGCCCATATATTTGCCTCAGCCCAATCTGAGGAGTATCAAGAGAGAATTCTCGCAGAACATTGGCAATAAATGACCAAATTCCTGCACGTAGGAAGCCTTTATTCAGCACAATCGGGATGGTTGATCTGTCAAACGGACAGATTGAATCGGATCGGATATTGACGGCCGAAGTGGATAATGAAAAATAGATAAATTAACCGATACGACTCATATCTAATACGGATAGAAAATATATTAACCATCGGATAATATGGATATCCATGGCTTCTTGAATATGATCACTTTTGGGAGAATTTCTAGCCTCTCAAACTTGAGGAACCCCCAATTTGAATCGTTGCAAATTTAAAAATTAAACCCATTGGTTATCTATTAGTTATCCATTTTTAAGTTGGATAATATAGTTCTTATCCATATTGGACCAATTTTTAAAAAGTTCATTATCCAACCCATATTTATGTTGGGATCGAAATAATATGGTGCATGCGGAAACTAACAATACAAAGCTTGGTGGACGATAAATCAGACGACAAAAGAAAAATATACTAAACTAAGCATAATAGTTTATAATGGTTTGGTAAATTTATCTACATATGATAAAACTAATAAAAAAGAAGAAAAACTAACGAGAGAAAAATCCCCCCTAAACAAAACTCTTTAATGACTACATTGTGGATATTTTTTTGTGCTCTTGTGAGAAGTAGAGATCCTTAATTTATAGATGTGCAAAACTTGTCTTCCAAGAAAAGGATAAGACATATTAAGAAGATTTAATCCTTTTAGGAGTTTTTTTCCATTCGTTCAAGAAAGAGAGTCCTAATAGAATATAAATTCAGGGCAAAGTCCTAACAATCTCCCCCTTGGCCTGAATTTTCTTGACAAAGTTGATTCACTTTCTTCACATAATATTCATCACTGCTGCTTGCCATGATTAAAAATCGGTATAGGTTGAAAATCTTGGTATTGGTTAAAAGAAGTCCAAGTATGGGTTAAAAGGAGCCCACGTGTTAAGAATAAATATGGGGTAAAAGAAGCTCATGCATTAAAAAGAAGCGTGGGTTAAAACTGGCATTGGAACTCATGCGTTGCAAGTAGGCATGACTTAAAACCAGCTTTGGTTAAAAGCGACCAAAATATGGGTTAGAAAGAGTTTTTATTCCAATAAAGATGCAACAGCAGACGTTTTGAATACAATTGTGATTGAAAATTTATCTCCACATGTAGCATCACATTCAAACTTTTTTTTTGAATAAAATCTTCGTTATCGTCTTGATCTAAAGACGTATTGAATCTGTCTTCAACCTCGTTCAACCATTGGCTCTGATACCACTTGTTGGGATCGAAATAACATGGTGCACGCGAAAACCAACAATACAAAAGCTTGGTGGACGATAAATTAGTCGACAAAAGAAAAATATACTAAACTAAGCATAATAGTTTATAATGGTTTGGTCAATTGATCTACATATGATAAAACTAATATAAAAGAAGAAAAACTAACGAGATAAAAATCTCCCCCTAAACAAAACTCTTTAACGACTACATTACGGATATATTTTTGTGCTCTTGTGAGAAGTAGAGATCCTTAATTTATAGATGTGCAAAACTTGTCTTTCAAGAAAAGGATAAGACATATTAAGGAGATTTAATCCTTTTAGGAGTCTTTTTCATTCGTTCAAGAAAGAGAGTCCTAATAGATTAGAAATTCAGGGCAAAGTCCTAACAATTTAGTGGATAATATGGATAGATAACTATTTTTGTTATCCATCTTGCCACACTGGTTGAGCTGAAAGATGCATGAGATCATTAGATAGTCAGAGGCGGAGCTAGAATATTAAGTGCGGGTATGGACGAATTCGGTAGTTGTCGTTTAAACCTTGCATTTATGTTAGAAAATCTATTAAAAATTTTTAATTGTGAATTCTGAATTTAATGAGTGAATTCTGAATTTAATGACAAATTCAAAATCCATAAACTTCGAATTTTGGTTCTAGCAATATAAATGGGCCGCCGCCTTTGAGTCCACTCATACTGCTTTTTGTTGAGCTTGTTTTCTTTTTTGATGTGTGTGAATGAATATATTGTCGGAATATCAGTTACGTAGGTGAGACGGTAAACCTCTCACCCTTTACTTAATCCTTTTATTTTCATGTTCCTTTGATACCGAAAAGGATGTATCTAAATGGTTTTTGTTTTAGGTCCAATTTTATCAATCTTTTATGAGTGATTGTAGGGCTGTCAAATTTTGTCCAAGCCTAAATGACCCGTCTAATCCGTTTAAGATTGGGCTGGTTATTGACTCGCTCATTTATTGAACTAACTCTTCTTGACTCAGCACATTACAACCCATTTAAAGTTGGTTGATTTTCTCAAATTGATCGATGAGTAACTTTGCCAAAATATCTTAGAAATAAATTTATTTTTTTGATTGATATGTTATATATGACCATAACAAAAGAAAAATGGTCTTATTTAGTAATTATGCAATTCATAAGAAAACAGCATATATTAAATATTAACTAAAGATTGATAAGAGTTGTGTGGGTTGGGCTATGACCCAAATTTTAGTTCATCTTGACCCAACCCATCTTATCCTAAGTAGCTTTTGGGCGGGTCAAATTATTGATTCAGCTTCTTTTGACTCGCCCAAAATTAACCCAACCCGCCCATTTAACACCCTTACACCCTAAGTGATTGACTGATTGTAACATACTAATTGCCTAGTAGTAGCAATTTACATATTACTATCAATACTTCTTTATATGACATATTTGTTGCTCCCAAACGCACACGCAAGTATACGTGATCGACAAGTAATATAGGATTGTAAGTCCAGATGTTGTACCCACAGGGGCTTGTGATTAACTATCAACTAAATTAAACCAAATAATTAATCTATTGAAGCGAATCCTAACGTATGAATATTTAACTAAAATTAATCTAGAGTAACAAATTAAGAGATTAAAGAAAACAACGACAAGCTTAAAGACGAATTTAATGTAAGTGAATATTTTAGAACTATGGGTTAGCTAACAATTCCGTTGAGTTTTTCACTTAAATCGTCTAATTAATTTATCTGGTTTATTG